ATTAAAGTTAAAATAAATTTAAAATTTTAATTTTTTGGTTACCATTCTATAGAAGCCAGTACAATTTCAGCAGGCTAGGGCAGAGCTGAATTTGTTTTACAATAAAATACATGGATACCGGACGCGGGGAAGAGGGGAATCCCTCAGAGACTCTCTTGCTGCTCACAAACGTTCTTCAGCTAAGACCGAATTATTGTTGCCTCGGTTGTGGGGAATATTTAAATCATTGTGTCAGGTGAAACTGGCATCATCTTTGATAACGAGAGCACAGGTCAGGTTTCAGTCAGAACATAATGCTTCTTTAGGTGAAATAAGAGACTTATCGCCATAAAGGAACCATTGCGAGCCTCCTGAATGCTCTCCCTCCTACCACAGGCCATGGAAATTTTTAGCATTTAAAAAAACGTCATTAACAATAAGCAGTATTAATTATATGTAGTAGTAGGAATTTACTAACAATTCTCTATATTCTTGCCTTTTTTTTCCTTGAATTTCTGCAGAGCAAATACGATAATTCTGTGATAACCTCCTCCAAAATCAGTGGTATTAATCCAAAACTTCTCAGCAAACAGCCTGTGAAAGTATCCTTCCACACATCTACCTAAAATCTCCCCTCTGCTTGAATAAAATTTTGGAAATAAATTTGGAAAAAAATTTAATTTTGGAAATAAAAAGAATGCTTCACACCTGGTGAAGTGTGCTGCACTGTTGGTCCAAATGCAGTAACAGAAATAGCATCTTCTCAGATTTCAAATGAACCCTCTTCCAAATCACTGATAGCCATTTAAAAAAATTGACTATATAATTAGGGAAGAAAGTGTAATGAGTATGATGGGATCCAAAGCAGGAAGGACACACAAATCAAAACACCTTATATTATTTTTAAAAATTATCTAATTGATAAAGTAAATTACAGGTTGAAACAGTAAAAGCACTTATAAGAAAGACCAAATTTCTCTGTGTGATGTGTTTACACAACCACTGAGATTTAGGAGATGTGCAGGGAGCGAATACAGCTGCTGACAATTCCTCCCTATGGTCTGAATGAACCTACGCTTGGTTTTCTGAGGAGAGCAGGGTGGGACAGTGCACAGCAAACCACAAGCAAAATGATTTCAGAGGTTTTGCTGTTCCAATGCAAGCCTGAAAGCAAAGGTATTTATTTATCTTTGAAACAATAACTGACAGTATTGAACTGGGCAGTCTCCTCGCTGAAGGAAATCTAACTTCTGCAGCCCTGTGTTAAGCCCTCTCCCAGGCAACACACTACGTAGATATGTATCATACGTGGATACACAATGTTATAATAAGAAAAGGGGTTGGTACATCCATCTACACAACAAACCAAATATGCCCAATTGATCAGATTTCCTTTTCCTGTACTTTCCTGGCTGCAATCCCAATCTCTAACGACTATTTTAGGAATGAACTCAGTGATTCACATCCAGGAGACTCAAAACCATCCAATCTTTCAGGGCAAGTTTCAATACACGGGGGGGTGCGTGTGTGAAAAGTTCAAAACTAATGACTGTATTAGAAATGGCAGACAGGCTTTGGCATCTTCTGGCAGTGCAGCAGGGAGGTAGCTGACCTGACGGAGGGGAGCAATTCAGTGGCAACCCCGTTAGGGTAGGATCAGTTAAAATCTTAAAAAGAAAGTTAAACTTCAGTTTTCAGAAAATGAGTACTTGGTACTGTGCACGATGGACTTGGAAAGAATCTATTCCTAGCTTTTTTTATCAGCAGTTGAAATGGTAACTACATGGCTAATCTCTCACACTTGCCACTTGTAAAAACAGTTTTTAATTTGTATGCATAAGCCCATGATAGGGGGGCAGCCCAAGACAAAAACCACATGCAGTGCCTTTCACGCATGTTAGCCTGAATTATAAACAAGAGGCCAAAATCTCAAATGGTAAAAACAGGGGTTGCCCAGCTGGAGTAAATGTGCTTATAATAGCTGAGGAAGTAGCTCAGTAAACTTGTTCACCAGAATGGTTTTGCTTAAATTAATCTTTAATTCTTCATATGAATTACACCCATTTCTGCAACTGCAGTGAATCTTAATGCTGTAAACCAGCAGGCTGTTCTCCAAAATATTCCAAGACTACTGGCAGTGTTCAACCTCTCCTGACACTTTTCTTGACCTGTTTCCCTGTAACACTGAAAAAATGCCAGATGAGTAATTATAGTCCTGGACACAGCAGCAGAAACATGTTCTTTAACTTTTACATTTGAATACCTGTTTGTCTTTTTTCTGCATATAAGCCTGTTCCCCTAAAAATGACAACAGTCAAAATGGGAGCAAAAGTGTCTTTGGAGAGCGGAGGCCTGAGGAATAATTACCTTTGGATTACCTGTGCAAATGTATAACCCGCACTGCTGCTGGATCACAGGTGAGATTTTGGGTTGGTTTTTGTTTTAAACTTGTTACACCCATGAAACCTGCAAGGGGAGCGGCAACTAACAGGAGATTGCATTTCATTTGGGGTTTCTTTTAAATGATTGTCAAACGCCCCAGGATCTGGTCATCAAGATGTGGCATTGGGATAAGACTTAGTAGTACCTATAAACCCTTTTACTCCATTCATTTTTTCGATCATGAATGGATCTGGCTTTTTACATTGAAATCAATGAGTACAATGCTACTTTGCTCAGTCCTTAAAAGATAAATATATTAACCAAAGAACAGCTTTGATACATATATATTATTTTTTTAAAATACAATGTAAACCTTTAGTAACTAAGCAGAAATCACAAAATCACCATTTTATATATCCGAGACTGCAGGGTAAATTGCAAAACACAAAACCTTGATACTGTGACTGAAATCTTTACAACTAATAAAGGCCAATATATCCAGAAGATTGGACATATGGATATGGATTTTGTGTGAAAATTAGTTTCCTCTCTATGGATACACATTCTGGAAGATTCTGCTTTAAAAGAAATAAAAATATGGATGAATGTTTTTACCTTGATATGCATCTTAGCTCTTTTCAACAGACTTAGAGTGGTGTGTCTGGTGCTGTCCGGCCCGAGAGGCACAAGCTGTTTTAGCTGTTCCAAATATAGCCGGAGTTTAGCCCGCCTGAAATTATTAAAAACGAAGAGCGTTGTAGTAAAGTTGCACCCGAACAGCATCTCCTCTATGCAAACACCATCTGTTTGCAGGATCTCTGTGCAGAACTTGATTCAACGGTGGCTTCCTTTCCCCTCCCTTTGGCAAAGTTTCAGACCAAAAGGTCACTTGAAATGCAGTAATGCTGCTTGGCACATTCAGATAATAGTTTCATACCTATATTTCAAAGCAGTTTGCTCAGTCTGGTTAGCCCTATCTTAACGAAGGGGGAGTATGCCCAGAAATCTGAGAAATCTGGGCAAGGCTGCACACTGAATCTATGGCTGGGTAAGGAATGAAAACTGAGGCTTCACTCCAACCCAGTGATCCTTGCAGGCAGAGATGGAGCTGAGGGAGGGAGCAGGGAGGCTGCAGACCCCAGTTCCCCTCTCCCCCATTAGCCCTGCCTGATGTGATAGGACACAATCCTGCTACACAAGGCAAGGGCGTCCACGCAGCTGTGCACAGCTCAGAGCTGCTTCCAGCCATGGTTTGACAATAGATTGTGACAGGGAAGTTCTAAGGCCCCTTCTCCTCCCATACTGACCCACAGTCCCCCCGAGAAGGAGACATTCCTCCTCTCACTGTACATCAAGGACCACCTTTATTATAAACACACAAGAGAAAATACTTCTAGCCATACTGGGTCCTGCTTTCTCTGTTACTCCTTTGCAAGTATCACTACTGCTGCTCTCAACAATCTCTCCTGTGCTAGTGACATTAAATCTATCAGTAGAAAAACCAAGTGGTATTCCTACAGGTATTTGGTTTCCAAACTTTGTCTGTCTTTGAGAAAGAAGCTGGCAATACAATAGTCCATGAAACAGTTGCTTCAACTATGCACAACAAGGCAGTGTCAAACCAAAGAACAACAGTGTGTAAGTGTGTTTCTACAGTTAAATCCAAAGGAAAATCTCTCCTGGTTTTAATGCACTATTCTGGAACAGGGATCCATACAGTTTTGCAATGAGATAGAAATGGATGCAGAAGCGCTTGCATTAGCAACATCTCTAATATTTTCCTTTCTGCCAGCCTGTTACAGATTGAACAAAGCGATGACCTGGAGCATGCCGACAGCCCCCACAAAGCAGTAATAATAAGTGAAGCGGATCACAAGTGTGAGATGAATAATCATCTTTTTCAAATCTCTTCGATGCTGCACAAAGGAAACAAACTTTGCAGGAAATTTAACGTTTCTGGTCAAGAATGAATTTTCTTTTGAACAAGTAGTTCAGAACTAGAATTCAGCATCAGTCTTTGAAATGCCGCTGAAGAGGATTTAATATGCACCAAATGACAAATTACATGTGTAATTGGAATGATTAGTGTGATGTGAAAACAACCTGAGAATTAATGGGGAAAAAATGCAAAGCAAAATAAAATCTAATTAAAATACAGCACAGTAATGACTACACACTCACACGTGTAGTTCTGGCTGCCTATAAATCAGCAATGTATTAGGTAGGAAATCAAAGAGCATTGCTATAAAACTGTTCATTCTCTCTTCAAGCCACTTAGGGGAAAAGGAATATTGGTGAAAATACAATCCTCAAGAGAAAACAGATGACAGATTTTTTTGTTTCGGCCTGAGGTTTGTTTTTAAATACAAGGCTCTAAACTTAACCCTCTAAATGCTTTTAAATAAACAACAGCAACAAAGACTGCGGTAAGTATTCACAAAAACAGCCCCATCAAATCACAGAGAGCCGCTTTGGCTGCTAACTTAAACTAGGACATTGATTTTTAAAATAGTGACATACCAGAATTAGGGACTACTGGTATACAGAAAATCCTCATCAGGTGAATTTTTATTTCTGTCTCTGTAACCTCTAACAACTACCTGGCTGTTTTTGCATTTTAAACAAAAAAACTTACTTCAGGGACTAAATTGAAATAATCTCGTTTTTAAAATGGCCTCTAAACACACACACAATCTGCGTCACTCAGCACAACTTGGATGCAACTGTATTTAGACAGCTGAAAAGAAAGTGAGGACTGAAGATAAAGGAGGATGTGGCAAGGAAGAGGACAAGAATAGTATCCAAGTAGTAAACAGAGAGCTAGATACATTGAAATGGAACAATCAGTATACTTGGAGTAATTAAAAGTCTGATAAGGAATATACAGAACGGTTGATTCGAGATCTACTCAATATTAATCCAGGAAAACGTTAATGAAACCAGACTACGTACTCAATTTATCTGCCTCTATCAGTATTTGAAGAAAGTCTGCTTACCACAGGGAGAAAGTAAGGATTTAATGCACTTCCTTACCATCAACTGGGGAGCTAACAGAAACGTTACCAAGATCCAGAGGGCACAGCTGTGTTTCTTTTTAAAGCACTAATTCTTTTATGTTACCTGCCAACCAGGTAAAGCAGGACTTTACAGAAGTGCTGTGAAGTACACGGGACTGAAGCTAAGAAAAGTATTTTAACTGACCAATGAGAAGAATTAAAAAGAGCTAAATATTAAAAAAATACTTTAAGGCATTCTCAGCGCTAACAATTGATAGCACTATGTGTAATAAACACACTTGCTAAAAGACTTGCTCTAACTTCACCTTTTTTTTTCTTAAAGGGACTTTTTCGTTTAATTACTCAGCACCTATGAATCCATTAAAGATCTTAAAGCACAAGCTTTATGCAGATCTTTACATAAATGCAGGCATGTTTGTGTGGCTAATTCATATATTATAACACAACAGCATAATCGATGTCATAGATTGTGAGTGTAAAAAAAAGAAAACCAGCCCACCACAATTCCTGTGGTACTGGGGGGTAAGTATACCCACATTTTTCAGTTTTCACATCTTACAAAAAATGTAAGAATGTAAGAAAACATTTCAGGCACGTTATGTTAACAGATCACACCAGCAGGAACAAGGGACTCAAACTTCACAGCAGATAAGTTGTCGCGTACAGACTCTGCCAGCACTATTTTCTCTCTTTTTCTGCAGGGACCTGACAGTTTTTGCTTTTCCTCGGCTGACTGTGACCATCGAAGGAGGGAAAGGCACTCACAGAAGTAATCGCAGCCAGAGCTGCTTTGTGTTTTGCAGCTCACGCCTCAAATTCCACCTAGAAAATAAGAAAAAAAAAAAAGGCAGCCTGGTCTCAGAGCAACGGGGGAACAATCTCTGTGCATGAAATGCGGTTGAAGTTGAGTAATTATGCTCCCCTTCAGCTTCGAAACCCGACTGTTACACCTTCACCCACACAAAGCACAGTGTCAGGCCAGGACATTGGTGCCTACAGAAGCGGGCATTTTTCTCACTTCATGCGGATGCACAGAAATATCCCCATCATCACTGGTACTGAATATATCAGGGAAGGTAAGGATCTAAAAAAAAGCTGTCCAAAATCTGAATTCTCAAGCCTGCAGCTCTCCATTTTGGGTACAGCCCCACGCATGGAGAGTGGTGCATGGGTGACCTGTCTCTGATTTACCACATTTTCCTTTGTGCCAGATGATAAAGGGGTTTCAGATGTTCAAGACTTCAGTGTTTCTCCATAAGCAAGCTCTCAACATGGTCCTATAAATCTGCATTATAGCTCTTCTAACGCTTAATAAAAATGAATTAGTAAGCCCACAGACTTGGTCAGTGTTCCACAGCAGTGGCCATGTCTAGGAGCAGTCGAGTGGTTCATCACGTTCACATAAAGGAGAAAGCAACTTGTTGACAACTAATGCCACGGCTAGTAGCTGGAATTGCCTTGCACTGGTTTTGAATCCATGTAAGCCATGATGGGCAGGTATTTCAGAACCGACGGCGAAATGAACCCTGGAGCCCCACAACTTGGAGGGGCAAAGCAGCAAAACAGTGTTGTGAAGAATCTCCCTGTAGTACAAGGACAACCACCAGAAGTTCATTTGAAGACAACTCACTGGCTGTAGTCTCAGAGACTCCAGTTTGCTCCAGTGCTCGGCTATGAAAAGGCAGGAGCAATGCTGGCCAGAGGAGCTACAGTTCACCACTTCTCCAAAAGGGCTGCCATGCAAAAGTAAATTAAGATCTTTGACCCTAACCAATTTCAAAATTGTGTTAAATGAGTCTAGTAAATAATGGTCAATAAGCTTCCCCATATGTATGAAATCCCAGATGCAAATCCATTTTAGTGCACCAAGAAATGGAATACTGAGATGCAGAGAAAAAAAAAAAAAAAAAAACCAAACAAAAAAGCCTACTGTTCACACTGGATAATCTTCATTCCAAGGAAACGGCAGCGATTCCAAGAAATTCCTACAACTACTTGATAGGCACTTACAATGGGAACAAAATACTTCTTAGTAGGGCCAAATAATATAACAAGAGGTAATGGCTGTGAGTTGGGAGGTTCAGTATGGACATTAGGAAACAGATTTTTTACTAGGGCAGTGATGCACAACCAGAATAGGTTGCCCAGAAAGGCTGTAGAAGTGCAGTCCCTGGAGGTTTTTCAAGATTTACCCAGATAAAGCCATAGACATTCAGAAGTCCCTTCAATCAACATTTCTGTGAAGGTATAAATCAAAGATTGCTTGTAAAGCTGTAGCATTCAACTCACAAGATTGCTCCCATTCATGTAACAGCAAAACACTCCCAACTGTGCAACTTAAACCTGTGCCAGTCTGATTGTACAGTGCTGGTAGGTTTGTGGAGCGATCTGATCCACTTGTAGTCTTTCCATAGGGGCTCTCCAAGGTTTCTTCAGGTCCAGTATAGCAGATAAGAAATGGCCTGCAGCTAGTCAGACAGCAGACAATTGTTCAGGCAGTAGCTGCATGGTTTTCTGACAGCAGCAAAGGTGTGTTTCCTAAACCATTCAAGTATTAATCCAATGACTTTATTTGGAGGCCACTGATCTGCACAAAGCCAACTGGAAAGGCAAAGTGCACATCCAAAACAAGCTGCTTAGTCCTCAGCATGGCATGCCTCAGCCAGGCCTTGGTGAAATTAAATGGCCACGGCCACTCATGATACTGGGTGAC